GTGCCACACCGCAGCAGATGATTCGGGAGTCTTTTATCGAGGATTTTCACTTGTTTCTTGCAGTTGCGGGCACTGGGTGCGGCGAAGGGGAGGCCCAGCCGAAACTGTACTGCGTTGGCATAGTGGGGGGCTTCAAGGCGGAGGGAGGGGATCAGAGGAATCGCGTTCAACCAGTCCCCCGCCCCGTATCCCGACAGTGATAGAAGCCGCTGAGTGTGGCCGCTGTTGTGGCTTGGCCTCATCCCCCTCGCCGCCTCGACCTGTACGGCGTAGCGCTGCCCTTGCAAAGCAGTTGCGAGTCCGTGCTGCAACTTTCGATCCGTTGGGGTTGCCCTCTCCGATTGGAGCAGCTCCTGGGCAGGCAGCGGCAGATTCCCTTCGCATTCGACCAGCCACTCCGAGAGTGGAGAGGAGCTGGTATATGGCCCGCGCATCTGCTCCCTCGTCTCCTCCAGTGGGCCAATGCATCTGCTGTCCAAAGTGTCGAGCAGTTGCTGCGCTTGTGTGAAGCTGGCCAGAAAGCTGTAGCGCCCTTCAATTGATGGGTCAGTCAAGCCAAGCCCCCCGAGCGACACTGGGAGCGAGGCTTGGGCCCACGTGCGAGAGGTTTCCGCCTCACCACGCGGGTGATTAATGCCGCAAGCGGGTAAACAGGCACTCAAAGAGCCTCCGTCCCCAGCCCGACCATTCCTCATCTGATAGGGTCGGCAGCGGCGTCGTGCGGGCCAGGTAAGAAACGCGGCGGGATATGCACCGTGACAGCAGCAGGCCCGCCAACTGTGGCTCCATCCGTCCGATCAGATCCAGGGGTGAGCTCATCGCCTCTAGGCTGCTCCGTACGAAGTTTGATGTTGCGGCTGTATTGCCGATGTAGCTACCCAGCACCTTCAATCCGTCCCTGCTTAGCGGGACACCGGCGGGTAAGCTGAGTTCCGGGGACGCCCCACTCGACCAAGCCGCGCACTTGGTCGGGTTGTGGGTAAGGCCGATACCTGCCAAGCTGTCCGTGAAATGGTTGAAGGCGGCTGCGCATGTGCTGTGCTCTCCAATAAATGTGACGTCGTCCGCGTACGCCAGGCAAACGACCGAGGGATGCGCGTCTGCCGCCGCCTTTAGGGCTGGGTGCATGGCCGCTGCGAATAGCAGGGGGCCGAGGGGGTCGCCGTGGCGAACTCCCATCTCACTGCTTAGCGGCTCGTGGTCAAATGCGGCGTCCAGGAGCAGGGGCGACGGCTGGCCATAGGTGAGTTTGACCAGCGGTAGCAGCGGCTCTAGTTTGGAGCCCTTCAGGGCCGTCGCGATGGCCTGGCGGTCCACGCTGTTAAACGTGTTTGCTAGGTCCGCCTGTAGGACTAACGCCTCCGGGTTTGCCGATGTGAGTGTGCGGACGATGTGGATTACGGCCTCAGCGCCGCTAGTCACGGCTACGCCAAACTGCAAGGGGAGGAAGAACTCCTTTGCCGCGTCCGCCAGCTGAGTAAGTGCCGCTTTCGCTGCTAGCCTAAGGATACACTCCCCGATGGCAATAGGCCTAGTCCCTCCGTCTGGCTTAGTGAGTGCTAACAGTCTTGACGCCGAGAGTAACTTTCCGACTTCGGGAGGCAGCTTCCCACTCAGCACGGTGTTGACCAGGGCATGCAGGTGAGTGCCCACTGCGGAGTGGACCAGGACGGCTTAACGAAGGTGCTCGAACGTAGTGCCAGAGGGCCCCGCTCCTACCCCATTTTCGCAGCGCGACAGGGTTTTCATGAAACTTTACGGACAGGTGGCTGTCAGGCTCTGGCTGGGGCCACGGGAAACTAGGGCTCGCTGCCCTAGGGTGCTTGGCGCGGAGGGAATCTAGGACAGCTGGCGAGGGCGTGCTGACTGGAGTGGCTTCCAGAGCCATAACTGCCCTCCTTAGACTGCCACGTCGCGCTAAACCTTCGGCACTGGAGATCACCCCCAGCATGTCAGGTTGGTGTTTTGGAGGGGCGGGATTATCCAATGAGTCCACTGCTTGCTGGTAAAGCAAATCCCATTCCCCTCGCAGGAACTGGCGCAGGCGGTTTCTGGTCGCCTTCCAATCAGGGAATCGAGTGGATTGCTGACGCAGAGTCAGGTGAGCGGCGAAAAGCAGGACAATCCAGGCTGGCAATGAGTCTGGATCTTTTGCGAGGCGCAGCAGCGGGGTCAGAACGACCATTGCAAACAAAAGGCGCAGTTTCTCTGGCAGGCGGCGCGCCAGGTGTGCCTGACGACTGTCGCAGAGCTGCGCGAGGTTCCAGTTATTGACACCAGCGAATAGCGCATCGTCTCTGGCGAGGTTTTCTGGCGATTTCTGGGGGGCAGGTTGGGTCTGCGGCTGGTTACCCCTCGCGGTGATTCGCTGGACATTTGCAGGTGGTGAGGTCAGGTTTTGATTGGCGGGTTGACTGGCGGTAGAAGCTGGAATTTGGGCCGCGGCTCGGGTCTGGGTTGGAATTCGGGATTGGGTGGGTGGACCTCTCGAATTTGGGGATGCGGCTCGGGTCTGGGCTGGGCCCATTCCCTGTCGAGCAGGGGCTCGTGACCTAGCCTCTCCAACGGAGTTTGGACTTGAGGTTGACTCCGCGGACTCCTCCTCCTCTTCATAAATACTCCCCGACAAAGCAGACTCTTCATTAGCTCTCGATATCTCAGTTAAAGCCCTTCTTGCCGCAGCCTGGTAAGCGTTCTCCGGGCCTCCTCCATGCGCGACCCTTGCGCGCCTACGGCCTCCCTCCACCTCCCTGTGACGCAGCCTCGTTTGCCAGCGGGCTTGCGCGCCTGCCTTCCCTAACTCGCGTCAACGAACGTGAACCGTCCAACGCCCTCTGCCGACGCGTTCCCGGCGATGGCGACTGAGGCCGAGAAGTCTGTGGTCGATCAAGGCCACACTGCGGAGAGCGCAGTTGTTCCGCTCCCGCCTCCTGCGTCTGCTGCCGCTGTTGCGCTCCCCGCTCCCCACGCTGCCGCTGCCCCGCTTGTCTCTGCTCCACCGGCTGGCGAGGCGCCGCCGAACCTCCCAGTTCCTGCGCCAGTGATCCCCGTGCTAGGCGCGACGCTTCCTGCTCCGCGGCAGGATTTGGAGTCTCTTCCGCTCGCCCCAGCTGACGCCGCGGGCGCTGCGCTGGGGACAGAGGCGGGCGTTGGCCCCGGTTCGACGCGCCTGGTGACCCCCGCTGCAGCGTTGGTTCCACCCGCCGTGGTTCATTCCGACCAGCGGGAGCGTCCCGCGGAGTCCGAGAGCCGCGGTGCCGCTGGAGGACAAGCGGCGGCGCAACGGGGGCTCGGATCTCCTCGGCGTCGCCCCTCCCCCTTGTATCGTTCTGCACATCGCGGAGGCCGCGGTGGCTGGTGGGGAGGTCACGGTCGCGGGCGCAGTGGGACGAACGAAGTGCAGCAGCTGCGCGAAGATTTTCCGGGGATGCTGGCTGCCGCGATGCGCGCTGCTCTGGCGTCGGCGCCGGTTCCTGGAGGCTCTCAGGCTCCAGCGGCTGCCGCGTACGTCCCTGCTCCGGTGTCTGAGCCTGCGCCGTTGGCACCTCCCGCGGCTCCTGCGCCAAGCGCTCCGGCGTACGCGCACCATCCAGCTCACACAGCTGAGCGTGCGTCACAGGCTGCCCCTCGTCCAGTCTCTACCGCTCCGTATCCCCGCCTGCCCTGGATTCCTCCTGTTCCGGGCATGGGATTTGTGGCAGCGGGAGGCGGAGAGGCGAGGGCGCCATTCGTCCCCCCGCGTCGGACTGCTGAAGTTCCATCCCTGCCGCCTCCGCCTTCCCTTCCTGGTCCTGCTGCCGCGCTGGATCCGGGCATGGTCCAAGTGCCCACGGCGACCCTTGCGCAGCTGTGGCGCTTGGTGGAGTGCCAGCAGGCCCTGACACTGATTCTGGTGAACGCACACTTTGCCATTCTCCGGAGCCCAGGGAGCATTCTGGATCCGTGTCCGCGAGCTGAATGCTTGACAGCGGCCGCGCAGTTTGCGTTCCTCTTGCTGCCCTTGCTGGCAGCGCCCGCGCCGGGAGGCGTAGCGGTCTCGCAGCTGGACGAGACTGTCCAGGATCTGACAGGGCACCTGCGTGACGGGGGCGGGGTTGAAGCTGTCGGCGCGACCGCGTTAGTGGTCCGACAGCTGTGGAGGATCATGCGTGGTATCCTCGTGGCCCTGGATGCCCATCAGATGTAGTCTCGGGTACCCGCGGCGCGTAGACTCGCATTTCTACTTAATAGTGTCCTTCGGGACCCGATGTTGACATGATGTGATTCCCTGATAGTATAACACGTCCAGTTTGCTTGGCACCAAAGGCACGCGGCCGACGGCCGCACACGCGGCCGCTGGATTTTGAACTTGAAATGAGCTAATGAGAGGAAAAACAGCCACAGCAGGCCTTATATAGCTATAAGATAGGGGGCAGAGGGAAGAGGGCAGAGGGATAGGCTAAGTCCTCTCTCTCTCTCTCACTCTCTCCATGCCGCTGGATTTCGAACTTGAAATGAGCTAATGAGAGGAAAAACAGCCACAGCAGGCCTTATACAGCTATAAGATAGGGGGCAGAGGGAAGAGGGCAGAGGGATAGGCTAAGTCCTCTCTCTCTCTCTCTCTCTCTCTCTCTCTCTCTCTCTCTCTCTCTCTCTCTCTCTCTCTCTCTCTCTCTCTCTCTCTCTCTCTCTCAAGCGGTCCGTGTATTAGATCCGAGCAAGTACAGACATGCACCAAGGATATAGGGTCTAGGAGCAACAGGCCTCTAACACTCCTATATCCTACTCACACCCTTGCTCTCTCTCTCTCTCTCTCTCTCTCTCTCTCTCTCTCTCTCTCTCTCTCTCTCTCTCTCTCTCTCTCTCTCTCTCTCTCTCTCTCTCTCTCTCTCTCCCTCTCCACACATGCAGAGGGCTGTTGGGCGTATGCGGTGGTGGCAAGCGTAGAAGCGGCGTACGCCATCGCGCAGAACACCATAACGTCCTTCTCCTCCTTCGACATCGACTCCCTCTTTTACCTCATGGGGCTCGACGCCTGTGACAGCGGCTCTCCCACGCTCGCCTTTGAGAAACTCGTTAAGATGGCCGCCTCTGGCGGTGGCCTTGACAACATCACCGAAAGCACCACCAGTCCCCCTGTCGGCCCCGCTCCTTCCGCTCCTCCTCCTCCACTTTCACCTCTCTTCCTCCTCCTGTCCCGCCCCTGCCACCTCTGTCTACGCCTCTTCCCTTCCCACCTCATCTGGTCCCCGCTCTTCCTCTCTTGAAGCAACTGCGCTCGCTTTAGCGTCACCATCACCACCACGACCAGCACCAGCATCACCACCACCACCACCACGACCAGCACCAGCATCACCACCACCACCAGCATCCCCACCACGACGACCACCACCACCACGGCGACCACCACCACCACCATCACCACCACCACCACCACCAGCACCACCTGTATGCACTACCTCGGCGTTTGCCAACTTGCTACCGACTTCTAGGGTTGCATTCCTCGGCGTCGAGTATACGGTGGTCATAATATACTTCATATGCACGCATGTGCATGTACGTTGTGCATGTGAATGTGAATGTGCATGTGCATGTGCGTGTACCTTGTGCATGTGCTTATGAATCTGCATCTGCATCTGCATCTGGATCTGCATGTGCATGTGCGTGTGCATGTGCATGTGCCTACAGGCAAAGGCTACCGTGCAAGGGTTTGAGAGGACGGCATTCAAGGGGTACTTTGGGCTCATGCTGGCGGTGTGGCAACAGCCTGTTGTCGTGCACATCGAGGCCAGCGCTGCTTCCTTCGTCTCCTACGATGGGGTATGTATGAATTGAACTCGTTTTTGCCACCTGCGATGGGGTATGCATGAACCGAACTCGTTTTTGCCACCTGCGATGGGGTATGCATGAACTGAACTCGTTTTGTCACCTGCGGTGGGGTATGCATGAACTGAACTCGTTTTTGTCACCTGTGATGGGGTATGTATGAACTGAACTCGTTTTGTCACCTGCGATGGGGTATGCATGAACTGAACTCGTTTTTGTCACCTGCGATGGGGTATGCATAAAGTGATTACCATGGTTCTCCAACCATGGAGAATGAACTGGGTTTCTATTTATTGGTAGGGGGGCGGGGGGGAGCGGGGGAGGGCGGAGGAGGGGGGGACGGGGAAACATCACTTATAACGAGGTACGAGTTGATTGGTTTAATTGCCTATGATAGGGTATGAACTGTATTTTTCAAGAATGAACGTTGAAAATCGGGTCTGCTACAACTCCTGGTTACCACACGGTTTATTATGTTGTGTCCCATGTCCATGTCCTTGGGAGCCCGCTTACCCCTAAACCCTCTGTACCCTCTGTGCCCCCTGTACCCTCTCTGCCCTCGCTGCCCTCTCTGCCCTCTGCAAGCAGACATTCAACTACCAGGACCCGGGGTGCTACACGGGCAACCTCGACCACGTTGTACTCGTTACAGGCTACCTCACTTCGGGTGTTGACAAGTCCCGCCCGACCATCTACCCGCCCTTCTGGAAGATCCGCAACTCGTGGGGCACGCAGTGGGGCGCGGATGGGTACATGTACTTGGGTATGGCGGGGGGAGATGGCATCTGTGGCATCAATGTGCTGCCCGGCATCTACCCAGTCATACGATGTGAGTCGGTGATGCACCACTGTGCTGCCGTTAATGCACCTCTTTGCCGTTAATGCACCTCTTTGCCGTTAATGCACCTCTTTGCCGTTAATGCACCTCTTTGCCGTTAATGCACCTCTTTGCCGTTAATGCACCTCTTTGCCGTTAATGCACCTCTTTGCCGTTAATGCACCTCTTTGCCGTTAATGCACCTCTTTGCCGTTAATGCACCTCTTTGCCGTTAATGCACCTATTTGCCGTTAATGCACCTCTTTGCCGTTGATGCACCTCTTTGCCGTTGATGCACCTCTTTGCCGTTGATGCACCTCTTTGCCGTTGATGCACCTCTTTGCCGTTGATGCACCTCTTTGCCGTTGATGCACCTCTTTGCCGTTGATGCACCTCTTTGCCGTTAATGCACCTCTTTGCCGTTGATGCACCTCTTTGCCGTTGATGCACCTCTTTGCCGTTGATGCACCTCTTTGCCGTTGATGCACCTCTTTGCCGTTGATGCACCTCTTTGCCGTTGATGCACCTCTTTGCCGTTGATGCACCTCTTTGCCGTTGATGCACCTCTTTGCCGTTGATGCACCTATTTGCCGTTGATGCACCTCTTTGCCGTTGATGCACCTCTTTGCCGTTAATGCACCACTTTGCCGTTAATGCACCTCTTTGCCGTTAATGCACCTATTTGCCGTTAATGCACATCTTTGTCGTTAATGCACCTCTTTGCCGTTAATGCACCACTTTGCCGTTAATGTTCCACTTTGCCGTTAATGCACATCTTTGCCATTAATGCACATCTGTGTCGTGGATGCACCTCAAATGTTTCCTCTCACTCCCTGGTCTCGCCCGTGCTGCTCCTTGAATGAACCAACCAGTTCCCAAAGATCCGTGCATGCAGAATGCGGTGAAGCTCGGTCGCAAGGGTGCAGAGACGGCGGCCATGAACCCCTGTGGCTCCTTCACATGCATTCCTCAGAAAGACAACTCCAACAAGTGTGACTGCAACGATCCATCCTTCGTTGAGGCGCTCAATGAGGATGGCTCTCGCACCTGTGCCTATGGTGCGTCCCTCTCGCACCTGGTGCTTCTGCTCTAGCAGCACCGCAGAATGGCCTGGGTCTGGGTGGTACAGACGAAGTGGGGCACACAGCACGACGAGACAGTGTGCTGCTGGGTGCCCTCTCTCTGATATCCACCGCTGGGTGCTTGTCAGAGATACAATCACCACACTGCACCAGATTTCTCCCTCTCCCTCTCCCCCTCTCTCGCTATCTTAACTGCTTGCCTTCCTATCACCTTATGTGTGCCTGCCCATGCACGTGTATCAGTGGATGTGTGCAGGGGCAGCAGTAGCACGCAGAACCCATGTGAGGTGCCTCAAAAGCCTACCTGTTCCCCCCACCCACCCACCCGCCCACCCACACACGTGTATCAGTGGATGTGTGTGGCAGCAATACACAGAACCCATGCGAGGTGGGGTCGTGTATCAACGCCGGCAACGGCTCGTACACGTGTGTGTGCCCGCCCACACATTCACTCGACTCCACTATCGCTGGCTTTTCCACCTGCTCCAGAGGTGGGTTGTCGTAAGTCATCTTCTGCTGTGGTAGGTGGAGATGGGAAGCGGCAAGGCAACAACATTTCTGCAATGGTAGGGTGAGCGGACATTGTATCGACAATTTTGCAGAGGTACGCTGAATCGAATGAACGTTTGTCCTTGTCTCGCCCCCCACTCATCCTCTATCTTTCCCCTCCCAATAGTCGCACTTGTCTCTTCCACCGCTTTCCCCCTCATTTCCCCCGCCCCTCCCACCCCCTTCCACACCCTTCCACACCTGCTTGTTTTGCGCTCTCCTGCCTTGCGCTCTCCTCTCGTCTTTCCACCCTCCCTGCCTTCCACCCCATCGTCTTTCCCTGGGCAGTTGAGGGCATTGCAACAAAGCTGGTGGTGAGAGGCAACAACTGGAACTGCTCCGATGTACACTCGCTCTTCGGCCTCACACTCGATGACCTCAAGAAGAATAACGAGGTGCACCTTCACCTTCACCTGCGCCTTCACCTTCACCTGCACCTTCACCTGCACACTTGTATCTCGCTCCACTCTCTCATACTCACCACATTGCTGTGTTTGAAGCGATTCTCACCAAGTCATCAGGTCCTATTCTTGCCTTACACGACCCTGCTAGGCCAATATGCACTCGTATTTACATATGTTATGAATACTGACTGTGTGAACTGCTCATGGGGAGGAATCTCAAAAGTCGTCTCTTAATCCGCAACTGCTGTTGCCACTGCAGAAACTTGACTGCACGAAGCCCCTTGAGGAAAACAAAGAGCTCAACATGGCAAAGGAAGGCGTCACTCCCTGCTCTGCTTTCTACTACACTCTGCCTGTGAGTGCTGAGTCACTACTGTCGCCACTACTCTGCTGCCCTTTCTCCTGCTCTGCTGCCCTCTTTTCCTGCTCTGCTGCCTTTTTTTCCTGCTCTGCTGCCCTTTTTTCCTGCTCTGGTGCCCTTTTTTCCTGCTCTGCTGCCCTTTTTTCCTGCTCTGCTGCCCTTTTTTCCTGCTCTGCTGCCCTTTCTCCTGCTCTGCTGCTCGTATCTCATCGCTGCTTCCTTCCTGCTCCCCTTCCAATCCCGCCTCCTGGCAGGGGGACAAGTGCCCCTCAATTGAGAATTTCCTCAAACTCGAACCGGACTCGCTGAGAGAACTAAACCCAGGCTTCGACTGCTCCTCCTCTGCGCCTCTCATCGCATCCCGCTCCCTTTGCATCGAGAGAAACTGGTTAGCTGTGGCTTTCATGCCCGTCTGCCTTCGGACGGGGTTCATTCAGAGCAAGGAGGGGTGTGCGCAGCTGGTGGAGAGCTCCAAAGGAAAGCTCTCCATGCTGGACCTATATCGGATGAACCCCGGCCTTGTGTGCAATTCAGACAGGAGTCTCAATGACGCCGCGAAAAATAACTTGCAAGTGCAGGTGAGTGAGAGCATGGAGCCCCGGCCGGGTGCAAGAGGGTTTTTTCTTCTTCTGCCTTTTGATATTGTTAAGTTTGTGAACTTATCAGTGATTGGCTTTGGCGCTGGGATGGCTTGAGGATGTCGTTGGTGCGTGTGGCGTTGGTTGTATTGTTTGCTCTGACTTGCACATGACTTGACATGCTACCGGTATGTTTCCTGTTTTGCTGGCTGCAGATGCAGGTGTGTGTGAAGGCAGAGTATCAGGATTTCTCATTGGGTAGGTGTACCACCAAAGGAAGCAGAAGTGTAAGCGTCAAATCTAGTACTAGATGTACTACCATATACACCATGCATTTCCAACGTAGTGAAAGCATGTTTTTACAATATGGCAACCGTAGATGTGCGGGTACTATAGGAGGGAGTTCGACATCGACGGTTAATATATGTGTACCCCGATAGCTTATCAAATAGAATTTGGATTTGAATTTATGCATGTTTGTTTTATCGGTTGACTGAAGAGAATAACACATCAATTTTGGCGGTATTGTTGTTATGATTGGTAATTGCCTGGCTGGGAATAACACATAGAGTTGCCGCTCACCAGAGAATAACACACAGGGATGGCTGGGAATTGCCGCTCACCAGAGTCAGTACTCCTCGTACAGTACTGCCAATATAGAAGTGTAGACATACAGTACTACTCATACTGCTATTACCGGTATAATTTATGTAATGGAAAGATTTACTGAACCGAATTTGTTGGCCAGGCCAGACCCTCACTGCTGGTCAATGAGGCAAGAGCTGATTGTTTGTAACAAATACCGTAGCTTACAGTGCATGCATGGGGTGGGTGGGAGGCTAAGGAAATGGGCGAGGGGCATTCTAAAAGTCCCACAGGGTCCACTGGTGCATTGGTGGTGGTATTCACGTGGAGAGCACCTGGCAGCCCAGCACTGCATTTGTTAGCACCAGCTCTGAACCCTTGTCCCCTCCCCCGGCCCAGGTATCACTTTCACCGGTATTACCTCCTCAACATCCACCTCCTCTTCCTCTTCCTCCTCGTCCCCATCGCTCCTTCCACCCCTCTCCTCATCATTCCTTCCTGCTCCTTCAAACAACACATCTCCATTCTCTGCCCCTTCCCCCTCCTCTCTCCTCCATACATCCCCCCACACCCCCACACCTCCCCCTACCTCTCCAAACACCACCCCTTCTTCTCCCCTCTCCCCTGCTCTCCCCTCTCTCTCCCTCCTCCTCCTCTGCCGCTCCAGTGTCCTCAGCACGGGCGGCAGAGGGGCCATCACTAGCGACCGGTCCGGCAGAACAAGACAAATGTGGTCCAAGAAGCAGACAAGCTGCGCCGCCCAGGGCTTGTGGGACATGGCTGGCAGCCGAACCTGGCCGACCCACGTCCAGGCGTGTGTGTGTGGGTCCCAGGCCTTCAACTTGTGATCGTCCCCAAAGTCGACGATAAACATGTGCCCCTGCACCGATGTTGTTGGGCCCTGCCATCCCTGCAGGGGGGGGGGGGGAACGAGTAGAGTGAATATATTCCATGCCACCACACTAGGCCAAGTCACCTATAAACATGTGCTTCCATGTGCCCCGCCACCCACTGCACATACCGTCCCACCGCGCCTCACCACCCAGCATGGCTTACCTGGGCCACGGGGCAGTACGGCGCACGCACCTGCACCATGGCGGGCGGCAGCTCGGTGACGGTGTTGGTGCGTAGACTGATAGCCACGCCCACGCGCTGCCCTCTGCCGCACCACTGCCCTGTGCCCCAGTCTTGCACACACCCACCACAGCGCATGGTGCCCTCACCTGCACCATGGCAGGAGGCAGCTCGGTGACGGTGTTGGTGCGTGGGTTGAAGGCCACACCCAGGCGCTGGCCCCACCCGATGTTCTTCGCCATCAGACACCCCCCCACCACTGTCTGGTACCCCGGTAGTGTCATCAGCTCTGCTCGTGCTGATGCTGCTGCTGTGCCCACCTGCAGGGAGTGGGAGGGGGAAGGGTGTTTTTGAGAGGTCCGACAATCACCCTGCTTCGCCACAAGACACCCCACCACCACCGCCTGGTACCCTGGTAGTGTCATACCGCTCGTGCTGATGCTGCTGCTGTGCCCACCTGCAGGGGAATGAGAGGGGACGCGCAAGAGACAATAATATGGCATTGACCCATGGAGAGCATCACGGCAGCCGCACCTGTGTCCACCGCTCTTCACCTGCACCCACCGCTCCTCACCTGCGTCCACCGCTCCTCACCTGCCACCACCGGTCTTCGTCCACGTCATAGGCCTCCACGGACCCCACCAGCGCCAGGCTGTTAGACGTGCCAATGCCGCCCGCCACGTACAGCCGCCCGCCCACCACTCCAAACATGCAGAACCACCGCCCCGTGCCAATCGCCGCCGCCCGCTTCCACTCGTTCCTGCACAGGTGGCATGCAGGGAGGTGGATGCAGGGGAGGTGACACCACAGGAAGAGCGGTTGGGTGGGTCGTGGGGAGGTGGATGCCAGGGAGGTGGCATGTGACGGGGAAGGGGGAACATGAGGGTGGGGTGGGAAGAGAGAGGGAGAGGGGAGATCTAAGAGTGGGCACAAAGCGGCAGGTGGGCGGGGGGAGAGGGAGTGGGCACAAAGCGGCAGCTTGATCGTGAGTGTCTGAGAGAGCGAGTGAGCGAGTGCATGAATGTGTGTGCGCGACAGAGAAAGAGGGATAAGCTCCTCCGTCCACCATTCTTACCGAGCATCAAAAGGGCGAGCTAAGCCAAGCATACCGGGCAGGGTGGTAGATGAAGACGCCAGAAGCAGAGTCAAGCGGGTCTTCCCTCTCCACCACGCCCGCCACCAGCAGCCGCCCCTTCACTGCTGCGAACTGCAGAGTCAGCACGGAGCGCTGCTGTGCGCCTGGGATGGGCGGCAGTGTGTGCCACGTGCTGCTGCTCGGGTCGAACGCCACACACGCGTTGTGGCCCTGCGTGGATGGGGAGGGGAGGGAGAACGAGGTGAAACGAATGGGCCAGTGCATCAAATCGTGCGTTGGTAAACACGAGGTAACTACGTAGGTACTAGGAAGGGCTGTCAGCACGAGCCTTGCATCGACTCACGAGGCACAGAACAGAACCTGTAATTCTTTTAGAATTCTCAAAAAATCCTTATAACAGAACTTGTGTCCCCCAGGCTCACCTGCCAATCACTGATAGACGCATACAGCCAAGGCTCGGTAAGCCCGAGCCTCTTCCGAGCCTGGAAGTAGAGGCTCGACCCGAGGCTGTCGTGCCAGCGTCGGCAGACGGCCCTGAGGACCTGCAGGTTGCTCCGAGGCACGCGGAGAAGAATGGCCCAAGCCAAGTCGTCCGGGAGGCCCGGCAGGAACGGCGGCTGATCCTCGCCGTTGATTGCTGCATCCGCGGCTCTCATTTCCCGAGCCTCCTTTTCAGCTTCGGAAGCGCAGTCTGTTCTTCCCTCCCCTGTCCCACCTGCCTCCGCCCTTTTCCCTGCCCCTACTGTCTCGCTTGTCATCCCAGCCTGCCCTCTCTCCCCTGTCGCGTCCCCTCTCACTTGGTCAGTACCGTCTACAGTGCTCACAGCACCCATGCTATCTGCTGCTGCACTGACAGCACAACTCGAGTGACCACCATCCGCTCCTGCCGCTGCTGTTGCTTCCGTCGCCGAGAGCGAGTGCGGGTCGTTCCCCCGCGCCGCCGGAAATTCATCCGACGCGGCCTCGCCTGCCCTTGCGGCGCCTGCCGCGACGCCGCCTATCGCTCCCGCCTCGTCTTCCCCGCCGTCTGAAGCACCACTGCGGGCGGCCGCAGCACTGGGAGCGCCCGCATCACCTTCCGAAGCTCCCACACCACAGCTGCCCTGAAAGGAAGCCATTGCGAAAGAGCCGTCCGCAGGTGTTCGCAGATTACCAACCCTAGTCCCGCTTTAGAATGGGGATACAGAATACCTGTTTCTCACAATACTGGACAGGAAGCAAAATCCCCCGTGAAAGTGGCGGTCACAGGGGTGGCCTGCTCCGCAGAACGCTGGGGTGGGGTGGGAAACGGTGAGAAGCATAGCGCAGAAGATACTCCCGAGAAAAAAGTTCCACCAAGAATGTTGTTGCCGTTTCACGAAAGTGGTACAGCGGCTCACGATGAGTTTGTTCACGAAATCTCTGGTGGCAGTTTGAAAAGTGTTACCAGTGCTCTCGTAGATCTTCTTTGTACATTTTCTACATTGTACTCTTATTCGCTTATCAATTCTCTTACAGGAAATTAAGGGAAAATATGCCACTCGTAATAAATAAGGGTCTCTATAATATGTTTAGTAAAAAAATAAAGGGTACGGTCACTGCAAAGGGTGTTTTCACATGTTTGATAAAGCGTTTCACGGAATCAGTCACTATCAACTAGGAAAAAATAACGCGAATGGTCACAGATGAAACTCCCGTCAAAAAAGATAATGTATTTTCTGACGAATCAACCCTACACACAATTCGCCAGGTGTTTAGGGTTGATCCGTCCCCAAACTGCATCCAATTCCGATTGGGTTTTAGTATTTTACGAAGTTAGCTGATTGGTTGCGCGCGAGCGGGAAAATTTTAGAGTTTCAAGAAATTTTGGCGGGAGTTACATGTGTGACCATTCGCGTGATTTTTTACCTGTTGTTAGTGACTGAATCCGTGATCCCACTTACCAAACCCCCCAGGAATCCCGATACAGTGACCGTACGCGTTACGAATTTACCATTCACGTTATCGAGTCCCATGTTGGTTACGTGTGGCATATTTCCCCGGAAATCAAGCTCCTTCATCCGCGCCTCGAGATTGCCGCCAATTTTCGCCCAGGTTGTCAGAGGCAGTGTCTCTGACACCAGCCTTCCCACCCTCAGCCGACATTTCAAGCTGAACTCCATCCTTCCTGAATCCTGGCCATCACCTTCTGTCACACACACACAGCTGAGCTCTGTTTCTTCCACTTACCAAACTCTGAAGCTTAGTCTCGTTGTCGGCATACCTTACAATAGTCCGCCTGTTGATTTTACAGATTAATGCGCCTGGAGCGACGCAAGAACACAGGCTCGTTAGTAGGAAATACCTTATTCACAATATGAAGAGGACGGAGTCGCGACTCGTCTATGACTGTTCGATTTTTCGGGTACAGATTCCAGTCATACGACGGAGAATAGATAAAAAGCCTATTACATCGCTTCGAGACGCGGGAGGTCCTTAGTACGTGGTTGTAAGCCGCAGCATGGAATAACAACCAAAGTACGCGCTGGTTCTAAGTCACTGGACCGATCAACGACCTTGGTACGCGGTTCATAGTTGCAGAATAGACTTACGGTCTCCATTATCCTTTTTCAGGACGTACGCTAAAGTCGGAACCTTCAGGGTGCGGTGCTAAACCACCTTAGCGATCTTAACTTGGAGTCCAGCTGGCCATCTTCTTCGATGCCTCCTACCACGCTGGTCATTTCCGTCTCTGCACACGGCATTTCATCCAGCCGTCCCTTCCTCCTTTCGCCATTTTCGCATGGCTTTCGTCGGCTTTCTTTGCCGTTTGCCAAGTTTCTCTGCGCTTCGCCGAGTGTCGCTGCAGTTAGCCGAGTTCACAGCCGCGGATTTTCGTTGCCGTTCGCCAACTTCGCTCCTGGCGTTCGCCATGTTCCGCTACTGTTTGCCGACTATGGGTGCCGTCCGCCGAGTGTCGCCGCCATTCGCGGAGCTGCTGCTGTTCGCCGAGTGTCGCTGCCTTTCGCAGAACTGCTACCGTTCACCGAGTCTTCGCTGAGTTTCCTACCGTTCGCCGACTTCCGCTGTTGTGCGACGCGCTACCACTCGCTACGTTGCGCTGAGGTCGCCGACTTTCGCTGTTGTGCGACGCGCTACCGTTCGCTACGTTGCGCTGAGGTCGGCGACTTTCGCTGTTGCGCGACGCGCTACCGTTCGCTACGTCGCGCTGAGGTCGCCGAGTTTCGTTGGCGTTCGCACTCTGCACTTGAAGGAAAACCGTGAATGATAAAGAAACGTGGCGGAGCGCAGAATATTGCAAGTAGAAGCGTGGCGGATCAAGATGTGCGTGTGCGAGTATTGTCGCAGATCTAACCCAACAGCAGCGGCTAAGCGCGGGTTGCGATGCGAGACACTGGGTGGTATCTGCAGCAGCAGCGCGGATTCGACGCGTACGGCAGCAGATGCCGCTTAAAAAAGGTGCGTGTGTGTAGCACGCAAGCGGGGGGTCGCATAGGACGTAAGAGTCCGCCGCATAGGTGTCTGGAGTCTAGTGTTGCTGCTATCGAGCGTCTTTCTTGTTTCCGTGCTCCTCTAACGCATCTGTATCCCCTCTTGCCGTCTCTGCTCGTGTGCGCTCTGTGTGCGATGAGGAGGGAGGGATGAGGGATGCAGTCCAGCGAACTGTCTGCGTCGGAACGTAAGCGTGGAACCGGCGGAAGCAGCAGGAGCAGAAGTAGTATCATCAGCAGCGGGGAGAAGGCGGACGTCATATCTGCATGCGATGGTGCGTGTGGCGTAGAGAGCACGTGGGGGGGCGCGTAGGACGTAGGAGTCCGCCGCGTAGGTGTCTTGAGTCGGCTATTCCTATCATCCAGTGCCTTTTCTCGAAATGAGCTCGGTCAAACCCGCGTGTGTGTTCTTCCCTGTGCTGCTGTGTGTGTGGGGTGGGGAGGAGGAGGAGCACAGGAGACGAGGCAAGGAGGGTCAGCCGAAAGACCTCCCGCAGCAGCAGCAGCAACAGCAGCAACAGCAACAACGACAAGAACAACATAACGTGGAGCAGCACGCCTCAAGTGAAGGCGTGGCTCGCAGGAGTGGCAGAGCGGCGGACAGAGCATGGTACGTGCCAGGGGGTGCTTGCAGGGGGGCCGTGAAGTGAGTCGTAGGCGTCGCCGCGCAGAGGCAAGAGTCGTGTCTCTTTCTTTTGACTCCGCCACTAGCCTCGTGCTGTTTCTAAGCCTCCCTGGTTGGTGCCGCTTCTGTGTGCGTGTCTCTCTCCCCATGCGTGTGTGTGCCTCATGGCCTGCGAGCATGGGCAGGCGGAGCAACCTGGAGCAACTTGGAGCAGCAGGCGTGAAGGGAAGGCGTGGTGCAGGAGTGGCAGAGCAGCGGACAGAGTGTGGTACGCGCCAGGGGGTGCTTGCAGGGGGGAGTGTAGTGAGTCGTAGAGCGTCGCCGCGCAGAGGCAAGAGTCGTGTCTCCTGCATTTTGCCTCCGCCACTTGCCTCCTGCTCCTTCTAACCCTCCCTTGTTGGTTGGTGCCGCCTCTGTGTGGCTGTCTCTCCTCCCATGCGTGTGTGTGCCTCACCTCACACCTCTCGGCGAGACAGCAGACCTGCCTGCCAAGGGGTGGTGCATTTCGTCCCACTGAGGGGCTCTGCGATTGAGGATTCGCCTTCTGAGCCGTCGCATAAACAAGGTCACCATGGCAGTATGGTGAGTCGCTGGGCGGATGTATCGGGGGGGCAGATTAGTCTAGGTCACCGTGCGGCAAGTCTTAGAACCAGGTTTTGCTTCTTCCGAGTCCGCTTCCTCTGTTGCTTCTGACACTCGCTCCCGTGTGCTTGTTGCTGTCTGTGATTTGTTCACTGAGGCCCATGCACGACGCAACAGTCCTGCCCGCCAAGGGGTGGTGCGTAGTGTTCCAGAGGTTTCGGTCTAACGCATGTGTTTGTTCTTGCGTGACTGCTTGTTGTGTGCGTGTGGGGCGGGCAGGAGGAGGAGCAGCGAGGAGGAGACAAGCAGTATCAGGCAAACGACCTCCGAGCAGCAACAAAATCCGCAGTAGCAGAAGCTGTAGGGGGGGAGGGAAGTGGGAGAAGAGGGGGAGTATTGACGGTGTCACTGAGCAGTATGGTAAGTTGTCTGCGAATTTGTCTGGGGGGGTATAGAAGTCTAGGTCGCCGTGCGGCAAGTCTTAGGATCGAGCTTTGTTTCATCAAAGTCCGTTTTCGATGCTGCTTTCAATGCTGCTGCTAACGCTCTCTCTCCTGAGCTTGTTTCGTGCTCTGGGTTGGCATGTCTCCCTCCCTGACTGAGGCCCAGGAGTGTGCGGACAGTGCATCCCTGATTGAGGTGCGGTGCGAGTGAGGAGTGAGGATTCGCCTTTTGTTCACAACTGCACAACGGTAAGTGGCTGATGGGTCTATCGGGGGGATAAAGCAGTCTAGGTCGCCGTGGGGCAAGTCTTAGAATGAATCATGGTTTTTCTTTATACTTTTTCCATTGCTGCATTTGAAGAACTATCCTCTGTGCTTGCTGCTGTGTTGTATTGGCTTTTCTGGGTTGGGGTGACTACCCTGACTGAGGCCCATGGATGTCCTGACAGGCATCCCAACGAAGGTGCGGTGCGAGTGAGGAGTGGGGATCCGCCTTCTGAGGCATCACGGGAGGATGAGGATGAGGACAGAAGGGAGGATGGATGGATTGTTTGGAAACGAACAGGGTGAGTGACTCCCCTCGCTGCACCCACCAACACATGATTGCCATGCTGTGCTGTCGACTGTGTCCTTCTGCCCTGCCCTCCCGCCTTCAAGCTCACAAGTCACACAACAGGTCAGGTCACTGCCTCTTTGCAGCCCACTCCTTACTTTTCATGTTTACTGCTTACTGTTGAAGAAATATTTATTTCAAGTCAGTTCCTCTTTCTATGCTGCTCCCTTCTACGCCAACTAATGTGTGGATTTGTCACTTCAGGTGCGAGTGCAGTGCCAGGAGGGAGGACGCAAGGAGGCAATGAGGGAACTGAGGGCAGCAGGATGGAACGGTGGATCAGCAAAGGATAGAAGGGAGGATGTTGGTTGGAAAAAGAATAGCGTGAGTGTTATCCTTATTGCTGCACCCACCCACCCATGCTTGCCTGCTGTGCTGTCAACTGTGTCCGTCTGCCTTCCCGCCTGCTTCTGCCTGCCATGCTCCTCTCTGCTCTTTAAGTCATGCTCCTGTTTCTTACTTTCACCTCGTTTCTGGTTGTCTCACGTGCTCGTGATCTCCCCAGCTAGAGTTTTCCTTTCCACTGTCCTCCCTTTTCTTACCTCTGCTATTCGTCATCCCCACTGACGTCCCGGCCTCTCCGCATCGCCTTCTGCCCTTAGCAGGTCAATATGAATGGCAACAACAGGAGCAGCAGTAGTAGCATTCTATAGATAGGACAGTATTAGCAACAACAGTAATGGCATTAGTACGGTAGCGAGGCATACGTACATAGACGATTGCTAGTGCATGAAAAGGGTGGCGAGGCATGCCAAGGTATTGTACAGTAATCTGAGGTACCCATAAACATGCTGAGGTATGGTGAGGTAAGGTAAGGTGCAGCCCCAACCAAACCAGGATTAAAGAATCACCGAACAAAAGAAGCTGGGGCCTAGACAAATAGATGGATTTACCTTTGCAAGAAGAGAGATACATTTAGTGACATAACTAAAGAGAGATCCACCCAGCCAAGCTTACAGCCCAGTATAGGAAATATCATACTTCTACCAGGCATGGCCAATGGCACCACTTTCCCAGAGGAGTTTCAGCTATCCAATTTCGGGCTAGAAAGAACGTGTCTTCCTCTTCATTAGAAGTTCACCGCAAGCAACAGTAGCGAACCCTCACTATAGCGCGTCACCGCTCTTCGCCTTCGTGCGGGAAGGTCGGCAGGCACAGCGATTTGGACTTGGTCAGACAAATCTAGCGCCGTGTCTCCTTTTTGCATTTCTTCGAGCAGATTTTTTGTGGGAGATCCCGAAGGCATTATAGATTTGAAATCACCAAGCACACGGCTGCGTTTTCCAGATCTCAGCACCATGGCTCCCCAGCCGTCCTTATCTTGCCTCCTCGGGCTCTGCGCGCTGCTGCTGGTTCCTCTCGCGCTTGTTGAGGGGAAGGAATACGTGATTACCCTTGATTCCTCGAATTTCGACGATGTGGTTCCCAAGGAGGAGTTTATTGTCGTCGAGTTCTACGCGCCATGGTACGCTCTAATCTTGCTCACTCTTTTATGCCAAGGCGTGATTTATTTACTTGTGCGCAGTGCGGGGTAGTGCACTGACAGACCGTCTCTGTTCTGTTCATTGACTCGACGTGGCGGGATTGCAGGTGCGGCCACTGCAAGAACCTGGCTCCAGAGGTACGCCTTGAGTATCTCTTTTTGATTTCATACGCGTCTCGGTAAGATGCTCGTATTCACGCATGTTCGCGTTTGTTGTCATTGCAGTACGAGAAAGCGGCCAAGGCGCTTGCGGATGCGGGATCGGCGGTGAAGCTCGCCAAGGTGGACGCGGACGACTCGAAGAACAAGGGCCTCGCCAAGAAATACGACGTCAAGGGCTTTCCCACCCTCAAGATCTTCCGCAAGTACGCTTCTTCCCTTCGTGGATCTTGTCGTTACGGAATTTTACGTCGCAGATTTGTCCGTTCGGAGTGCTGCGGTTTGTTTCTTCCGTCGTTTCTACATTGTTTGTTTCTTTTTCTCGCTTTTTTTTTAATATTTTTCCCACAGGGGTTCGGAAAGTCCCCAGGATTACAACGGGCCGCGCGACGCGGATGGCATCGTGAGCTACTTGAAGAAGCAGAGCGGCCCGGCGACGAGCGAGGCGAAGTCCGCCGAGCACATCAAGGACCTCGCCGCGTCCGAGAGCGTCGTCGTGGTACGCCCACTCTCAAACTCGAATCTGAACTCGAACGCGAGCGAATTTAAACGGGATCAGCAGCGCATACTCGAAATTGAAATGGATTTTGAGCTCGAATTTGAACAAAAACGTGAGCGGGAACATCAAGGACCTCGCCGCATTGATTGCCGGCCACTCCTCCTTTGACGCTGTCGTTTCGCTTCGCACGCTGAGAGGAGGAGGATGAGTTAGTGAGAGAGTGAGAGTTTGAGAGGCTGAGAGGACGAGAGGATGAGCAGCAGGAATTTACGGAATGTGTTTGCGTTGCACAGTGGACATGATCAATGATCTGAAGTCCGATGACTTCAAGGCCGTCTCGCCTGCGGCGAGTCACTTTTAAGAACTACCAAATTTTAAACGGAATGTGTTTGCGTTTGCGATGCGCAGGTGGGCGTGTTCAAGGATCTCGAGTCGGAGGAGTTCAAGGCCTTCTCGTCCGTGGCAAATCTGTTCCGCTCCGACTACGTCTTCGTGCACACCACCGACGCCGCGCTGCTGCCGGAGACCGGAGGCCCGCTCGCCGCGCCCGCCGTGCGCGTGCTCAAGCAGTTCGACGAGGGCTTCGCCGATATCACCGTGAGTTACACTGTTACACGCGTTCGCGCGATTCGCCGACATCGTCGTTAAAATCCGGGTGTATTCTTCTGTGGCAATTGAATGCTTGTAGTTGTTTCGTTGTGGCCGTGTCGCGAATGCCCATCTTGAATCATCATCCTGAATGCCGATGTCTTGAATGTCAATGTGGTGGATTCGCGAGTGCAGACGGTGGAGGTGGAGCCATTGAAGTCGTTCGTGGAGAAGCATTCGGTGCCGTTGGTGATCGAGTTCTCGCAGGACCCTAAGGACCGCACCTTCCTCACCAAGGTCTTCGAATCCAACAAACCCAAGGTACGCCAACCGCCTCCCCGCACCTCACGCACCCTCCTTTTCCCCATCCCTCGTGCTCACAACTGCACCTGCCATCGCAATCTCCCGCCCGCCCCTGCCCATGTGCCGCCTCCCCTGTGACCGCTTTCCCTTGCATGTGGCACCTTCGCTGTCTGTACCACCGTTTCTATGCGTTGGTTTTTGAGAATTCTCAAAAACATAACTATGCCTCAACTCCTTTGCCGCCGTGCGTATTCCGCCTTCCCTGCGCGGTACTCCCTGTCCGTGTGCAGGCTCTGCTGTTCTTCTCGTACAAGGCGGACAACGCGGCGGACTTCCGCGCGGAGTACGCGAGCGCGGCCAAGGCGCACTCGGACGACATCCACTTCGTCATCGGCGAGGCGGCTGTCAACGACCACGCGCTCAAGGTAACCGTTGAGAACATGCAGCGCTCAAGGTAACCGTTGAGAACATGCAGCGCTCAAGGTAACCGTTGAGAACATGCAGCGCTCAAGGTGCGACCACGCACGCGCTCAAGGTGCTCGGCTTGAATGGCATTCATCCTGCTCGTAACCCTCGCGTTGCATCCTGTTGCTTGCCTCCCCAGAGACTGCTTGCGTGGTGCGTCGTATGCTTCAACGCGCCGCTCTTCCCTTCCCCCCTTCTCCCCCCTTCCCCCTCACCCCCACGTCGGGCAGTACTTTGGGCTGACGGCGGCGGACACGCCGGCGATCATCATTCACGACCCCGAGTCGGACGGCAAGTTCGTGAAGAGCATCATCCAGCCCGCTGACATCGCCGCTTTCATTGCCAAGTTCCAGGTGCGCCTGCTGTAGTTGGTTGGTGTAGTTCCTTGGGGAAATCTCGCGTGCTGTAGATGGTGTGGGAAAAGCAGAAGGCAAGAAACAAACAAACAATGAAATCCTGCTGGGGTGCATGCATGCGTGTGTGTGTGTGTGGCGTATGGGGCGTTCAGGCGGGTGAGGCGGAGCGGGTGGTGAAGTCAGAGCCCATCCCGGCGGGCAACAGCGGCCCCGTGAAGGTGCTCGTTGCCAATGCCATGAAGGAAATGGTCTTCGACTCGGGCAAGAACGGTGAGCGCGCATTTTTCCGCGTCAACCCCAAAGAGTAGTTCACATTCAGCTCCTGCTCTTCTGCATTCCCTGTGCCTTTCCCCATGCTGCCACTACTTTCAACCCTCACCATTCCCGGTCTTGAGTATTCCATGTGCCATACCTGTGTGCTGCAGCTGCTGCTGCTGCTGCTTGCTTCAAAGCATCTGGTGGGTCAATGCTGGTCACTTGTTGTGGTGTGTGGTGGTGGCAGTACTGATCGAGTTCTACGCGCCGTGGTGCGGGCACTGCAAAAAGCTGGAGCCTGTCTACAAGGAGGTGGGGGAGGCTCTCGCCAGCGACCCTGATGTCATCGTTGCCAAGATGGTGAGAGAAGCAGGTCGTGAGGAGGGTTTAAAGGAGAGTGGTGAGAGTGCTGTACGAGAGTGAGGAGAGGTTGGTTTTTGAGTCGACCCAAGCTGGAGGTGGGGCAGCGAGTGAATCCATTGTCATCTTCATTCTAGTGTGGCTGGTAGTGTGGCTGGTGTGTGCAGCCAGTGTTACAGTGGTTATGTGGTAATGTGAGTTGACAGTGGTTATGGCAACATGGTTCGTTTTTGATATCTTAAAATAGATGGAGTGTTAGGGTCGTGGCAATGTATGTGAGGTGACAGTGGCCATGGCAACATGGTTAGAACAGTAGGAAGTCAATCCTGGGGCAGTGAATGGGCATGGGGATTGGGTGAACCAAGCTGTGCGAATTGCAAGGGGAGAGATGGATGGCAGGTAGTGATTCCAGCCATGCACGATGATGTTGGTGCTGCTGTTCGGCTTGACTCTACGTACCTTGCCCTTGTCACCATGCCACTACCACCACCCACCACCGCCCCTCCACCCCCCAACTCCCATCCCCCATCCTACACCCCACAACCCCCACAACCCTCACCTACAGAACGCGACCGCAAACAATGTGCCGCAGGCGACGTTCTCAGTGAAGGGGTTCCCCACCATCTACCTGTACACGTCGGAGGGGAAGGTGGTGTCTTACAGTGGCGACCGCATCACCTTACCCTTTTCCTTTCCCCTTCCGCTTTTTCCCCCCCTTCTTTTCCCCCACCTACAGGATGCCACCGCCAACGACGTGCCCCAGGCGACCTTTTCAGTGAAGGGCTAACCCACAATCTACCTGTACACGTCGGAGGGCAAGGCGGTGTCTTGCAGCGGCGACTGTATCACTCACCCCCTCTCCTTTCCCTTCCTCCTTTTCTTCCCCTATCTACAGGACGCTACGGCAAACGACGTCCCACAGGCGACGTTCTCAGTGAAGGGGTTCCCGACCATCTACCTGTACACGTCCGAGGGCAAGGTGGTGTGTTACTGTGGCGACCGCATCACTCATCCCCCTCTCCCTCCCTTCCTCCACCCCCAACCCCTATGCAGGACGCGACAGCAAATGACGTCCCGCAGGCGACCTTTTCAGTGAAGGGCTTCCCAACCATCTACCTGTACACGTCTGAAGGCAAGGTGGTGTCTTACAGTGGCGACCGCAGCAAGGCGAGCCTGGTAGAGTTT